TCTACACCTCTTTGGTGCAAGAGCTTTTAACTATCTTTCCAAAAAATCCCATCTTGTTATGTCTGAGCCGATTGAACCTTTCGATTTGTCTCAGCTAAAAACTCTTAGATTTTTCTGTGCACGATGGCTCCGCGACGACGCCGCCGGCGTGCCCTGGGGCTTCGAGCTACTATTTTGCCAGTGGTACAGTATCACACGAAATTGAAGGCACTGATAAATCTATACAGATTTGAATATTCTATCTGATATTGACACTTTGTTGACCATGTTTGATTTTGCTTTTACGTATTTATTTATTCGTGAGGAATGTAGTTATAGTTAGCATGATGATGACTTCTTTCAAAAGCACTAAGTTCTCTCGTAACTTTAATCGAGTGACGGCGACAAAAAGAGAGCGGTAGTCGAAAAACTTACGAAGTCCTAGCATCCGTATTCAATTACGTTTAGCATGATTTTTGACTTCACTAGAGGAAAAGTGACTTAATTCAAACAGAAATATGCTCAAAGCCACCGAGAAAATTTCTTTTTGGGTCAAGAAAGAAAATAATCCTTGTGTAAAGAAGAAAAGATGCTTACATCAAAAGAAAAGTCACTAACATCAAGCAGAACCCCGCTTTCATTCAGCGATTTGATTCTTGGTTCAAAAAAAATCTTCTTGGCAGCATACTGAATAACGTTTCTGCCTAAATCGAGTCAGTTTTTTCTCTAATGAAATTCAAAAATGTAGCTAAACGTTATTAAATACGGATGCTAGTACTTAGTGAGTTTTTGCACTACCGTTCTTTTTTTGTGCTGTAGTATCTTGATTTATTTTGCGAGGAAAGCTCCGTACTCTTAAAGGATGCCTGTCATTCATAGTATGTTGAAGCGCCTTTAATTTCGGAAGATACTGTGCAACACCTCTGTTGTGAAATAGTTGCTTGAAGCGCCGTGACACGCTGCGCACATGACGAGGCGGGCGGCCGATTAGTGCGGAACGCGCATTGGCGCCTACAAACTTAAGGGTATACTTCAAGCATTGCGCAATGCTTGAAGTATCCCCTTAGGTTTGTAGGCGCTGGCCGGCTGCTCACCGCGCCGCAACGTGCCACGGCGCCTCAAGCAACAATTTCACAACAGAGGTGTTGCACTGTATCATACGGAATTGAAGGCGCTCCAGCATATTAAGAATGACAATCATCCTCTAAGAGAACAGAGCTTCCCCCGCAAAATAAATCAAGGTACTGCGGCACAAAAAGAGAGCGGTAGTCCAAAAAGTCACTGAGTCCTAGTATTCGTATTTAATAATGTTAAGTATCCCCGTGGGTTTGTAGGCGCCAGTGCGCGTTTCGCGCCGGCAGCACGCCGCTCCGCTCTGTGTTGAGTTCTAACATTTAAACTCGTGGAGTCAGCGTTTTTCAACGCACGATTTTGACATGTTTGCACACTCTGCGTGGGTTATTCTCAATTAAATTGATGGGGAAAAAATATATATCAAAGGAAAATATAACGTGTGTTCTGTAAATATTAAGGTGGCTTCGGGTCAAATTTAATGATTCCCACGGCACTTTAATTTTTTCTTTGATATTTTGTACTTTTAATGTTCTGATGCGTCGTGTTCACGCAACCAAACCTTCAAAATTGGACGTATTTGACTCTGAAAGATAGATGAATAAATTGGTTAAGCCCAAAGATTGCGTGGTTCTTGAGTTTTTTACTTAATTTATTCATTTTTGAATAGTTTATTTCAACAAAACTATGGCTCATTGAGACTAATATTGATGCTATCTCTTGGGAAAGGTCTTACAAATATTTGCGACGTTTAAAAATGTAAATGACTTTAAAATGAAGTAATATTTTCATTTCTTATTTTTAAAAAAAGCATATGTAAAATAAATTGTACATCGAAAATTTTGAGGATGGAAATAAAACGAAATATTCAACAATTGTTGTTGTTGTGTTTAGGTTGATTGGCCTAATTCCGCCAATTTTACTTACTGACTTAGATATAACGCTGGGACCAAGTCACTGCTGCCCATTTTACGCGTGGACATAAACTACTGATCAAAGCAGGTGCTCGGACAAAAAACCGTTGAAAAATGTCCTGAAACCGTTTTCCTTTGCCTTGGACAGACCTTCTTTGACGGTCAGTTCTAATCTCAAACTTTCTCATAAAAAAGGATCGTGCACATTTACAGTGATGACCGTACCGGTGGGTGGTTTATAAAATATGAAAATATTTAATACATATAATAGTTCAATTTATTATTGAAAATGGTAAACCTGACAACCTTTAGATTCCTATATTTGTCCAAAAAATTCAAAATAATACATGTTTATTCTTTCATATGGACGTATTTCTATCAAACAGTATTATGTGCAGGTGAGAAATATGGGGTGTGCCCGTCAGCTCTCTGGCCGTGCGAGTGAATGAGAAGAATAAAGCGCCAGTGACGTCAACGGAGATGGATGCCGTCGGCCGTCGCGTCGTCGCGGTCGTAGTAGTCATTAACTCATGAGCCCTGTCCACAAAGCTCTCGTGCTATGCCCGCGGCTCATATCTCGCATACAGTTGGCACATAGTTCTGTTTGCTGAATTTAAAATCCTGATTTTCCAATTCTTCAACAGGAATCAAGCCCACTTTTACATTGTTTCCTATGTAGCTTTCTGGAGCACACCCCATATTTCTCACCTGCACATAATTCTGCACTGGAAAAAAAAAAAACACATTGGATCTAGAGTCCAGACTCTTAAAAATATCGACAAGAAAAAATACTCATGATTCAATTGGATTTTTGCTTAAATCAAGAGCCAAGCCTCTTAATTTGAGAGGATTTCCTTTTGATTTAAGCTTAAATCTGATTGAATCAAGAGTATTTTTTCTTTTTAATATTTTCAAGAGTCTGGACTCTGGGTCCAATGTGTTTTTTTCCAGTGTGTTTGATAGAAATACGTCCAAATTACACCTCTAAATTTTTCTAAAGATTATGCGTAAGTTTTTGTGGCATTTCCGAATCAATTTTCGATTTTTTTGCCTCAGGAGTGGTGGAAATTGGTGACCCAAATGTGACAACCATCAACAGAGGAGTAAATTGTAAAAACAAGAGGAGAGTGAGCGACGATTGCCCGCGCCGAGACCTCAGAACCAGTAACGAGGGGTGAATGGTCGATTATATTATCGATATTTCTCCATTTGAAGCCATAGTAAAGAATCGATTATTAAGGTGTGCGTTGCGAACATTCTGGTAATCGATCCTTTTTCATGGTTCTAAGTGGCAGATCAATCGATATATCGTAAAGACAGCAACGCCACTGCTCAGAACCCAAAAGTGGCACCACGACTGGTTTATTTCAATCCATCGATTGTTGAACCGTAAGAATGCTCCATCGAGTGGGGCTGAACAAAATTGGTGTTGACGGACGATGCAAAGATTAGCTCTTAGCGCTACATTTAAAAAGCGATCAAAAACCAATCGCTGGCTGGAGGAAACCAACATGGCAAACTTGAACTCAACAATTATTAGAGCGGATGATTTCGGTGTTTGGTCAAGGCACTGCCTCATCTTTATAGAAAAAGCTCCTAAAAGCAGGATGTTTTATCGATTTACACATATTTGAACTTTTTTGGAACTGTTAAAATGTTGCTACTAATACTAAAATAATGGGATAAATACAACAGAACTGTATTTTTTAAAAACTGAAATAACGATCATTACAGTGTTGCTATTACTAAGCAGTTTTTTGGTTCACAAGAAGTTAATAGAAAGCAGGCGAACGATTGATATTATACAAGATAAGTAGCTCCTTTGACTTTCATTTTTTGTGTACGAACAAATACTGTTCTTGTTTGTTATCTCAGATGAAAGAAGTTTCACAAGCTAAATAGCATTGCAATTCTACCCCCCCCCCCTCAAGAATAGCAGTCCAATTGAAAGCAATATTTAGTATAAAGACATAAGTTAAATGACTGTTAAGTGATTCTAGAACAAACAGGTTTTAAGTTGAAAAATTAAGGGGTGCCCCCTGGACTTCAAAATTGTTAAACTGGGTTTATAAATTAAGTTAAAATCTACATTATGTTTCAAATGTAATACTTTACGACGGTCTCTATTCAATATGATGTACAAAGTTTAAAAAAAAAATCATATGTCAATGATTTGGACGCTTAAATTATGTCCAACGATTTCCTACTCAAAATCGGAAGATTGGCTTAGTTTTAAGTTTACATGTATATAGTTTGTACATAACTTCCGTTAAAAAAATAAATCAGTTGTATTGCTCAGAAAAGGGTGTTTTACCTCTATATCGAGAAAATGAAATAATTAGGTACAACAGAAATAGTATTTCCATACTAGGCTACATAATTCACAATATGCATGTATCAAGTCGATCAAATACTTACAAATACCCGCCGAATTCACTTACTTATTTCAATGGTTTGAGATGAAGAATGTATTTCAAAGCATTTTACTTAACATCCACTGCACCCAGATACCCATTGACATATCGTCACCTTCCAGGCAAAGTATCACAAGCGCCATGCGACGTTTAAAAATTTCCGCCGCCATTTTATTTTTTTTACAGAGAAATTGTTCAACGAAGCTGTCCGAAAATTTCACTGAATTTTCTTTGTGCTGCCGATAAAATTTAGTGAAATTTCCAAACAGATTCAACCAACAATTTCTCAGTAAAGAAATAAAATGGCGGCGGAAATTTTTAAACGTCGCATGAAGCTTGTGATACTTTGCCTGGAAGGTGACGATATATCACCGTTTCAAACTCAAACCATGACCGTAAAATGCAATGCACCCAACGCCTCATTTACGTTTGCGTGCGCGTGCAAGTTATCAGGCTCTTGCGGCTGGTGTGGTATCATAAGAATTTGAAGGCGTTTTTAACTGCGTTCAAATCAAAGGGAAAACAAGGGCCGTAACACGGGCCAAGTGGCACCCCTTACTTTTACGAGTCGTCTCTGATTGGCTGATTTTTCCCGCCAATTTTGCAATCGTCTGCAGGAACCAACTTTCTGGGACCCTGATGGAAAAAACACAGGGTTTAATTTTCATCAAAAATATCTCGAAAACAAGGAAAAGTTTACGCGTAGAAGATTTCAGAAATCAATTCTTCAAATTTTTCTGAAGAGACTGGTGGGAAATGCATGACACTCTTTCCACACTGAACAGCCTGAAATTTGTTTTCTTCAACTTGAAATATGACACCTAGTGTCATGAAAAAAAAAATTCCAGGTCAAGCAGTTCGGTGCTTTGAGAAATGATTGTCATGTATTATACCGCGTGCTAAGGAAAAACGCCGATTAAGACCTTAGACATTGGCAAGTTTTCTTTGATAATATACGAATTGATTGGAACAGTTTTGAATATTTCTCCTCCGATTATCCAGACAATTTTGTTCCCACTTAGATCGAAAATATCTGAAAATATTACAGGAAAAATATGCATAACTATTCTCAAAGATAGTTTTTTCCGGGGAAATTTAGCAACTCTAGAATGTTCATACGGCATACTCTAGCACGGCAGTATTACCCATCAATCTCTTCTAGAAAAATCTAGAGAATTGATTTCTGAAACCTCCGACGCTTGAATTGTTTCGTGTTTTCGTTTAATATGAAAAATGAACCCCATGTTTTTTTTCCATTAAGGTCGCAGCAAGTGGGCATGTGGATTGCAAAATTGGCAGGGAAATCAGCCAATCGAAGATGATCTGTAAAAGTACGGGTCCTACTCAGCCCACAATCCGTATTACAGCTACAGCCTCTGTTCACTCTTTGATTTTAACGCGATAAAAAACGCCTTCAATTTGGTATGATACCGCACCAGATGCAAGAACCTGAAGAGTTGTGGTGTACTAGATTTCAGTCCTGGACTGAAACCGTCTTGGTCTGAAACCTACTGCAACCGCGCTGAGACATCTTCGAGAAAATGAATTTGATGAGGGAAGAGGACAATTGTGTCGAAAAACATTCCTGATTAAACAGATTGAAAACTGCACACGGAAAAAATTAAATTGCTGATTAAACAATTCATTGCTGAAAAAAAGTGACTGCAATATTTCAATGTAGATTTTACGACAAGAAAATGCTACTTTAACCACCCTCGTGGTTAAATTGGCTTACAATAGTGGTTAAAGTACAATTCAATCCAATTGCTAAAAAAAGTGACGTTTCAATGTAGATTTTACAAGAAAATGCTACTTTAACCACTTCCGTGGTTAAATTAGCTTACAAGAGTGGTTAAAGTAGCATTTTTTTGTTGTGAAATCTATACGTTGAAATATTGCAGTCACTTTCATCAGCGAGTGAATTGTTGAAGCAGCAATTTAATTTTTTCCGGGTAATTCTTTCATGTTGCGAAACATCGAACGTGCAATGCGAAGCGCTAGACAATGTGAGATTATTAATTTTTGATCTTTTTGAGATCCTAAAATTGTCCCACGAATGATTCAAAAGGATGACCTCAAAAATATGTATCATCGTATCCTCATCGATAGTACGGATTGTGAGTAATAAAACGCTAGATTACGCTGTATTGTAATATGATGCGGGATGAGAAACAGGCACAATGTGAATATATGAAATTTTACAAATGTTCAGTTGATTAAAGAACATGGATTACTTAAGCCGTATAATTTTTCCGCGCGCCACTGAGCTGCAGTCCACAAGTAAAATGTTAACATGATTCGCACCCAATCTCTTTGTTCTTTTTTTATTCACGTATCGCAGTCCGTATAAAAGATGAGATTCATGAGAGAGTCATTCATAGTATGTTGAAGCGCCTTCATTTGCGGAAGATACTGTGCAACACCTCTGTTGTGAAATAGTTGCTTGAAGCGCCGTGACACGCTGCGCACATGACGAGGTGGGCGGCCGATCTGTGCGGAACGCGCATTGGCGCCTACAAACCTAAGGGGATACTTCAAGCATTGCGCAATGCTTGAAGTATCCCCTTAGGTTTGTAGGCGCTGGCCGGCTGCTCACCGCGCCGCAATGTGCCACAGCGCCTCAAGCAACTATTTCACAACAGAGGTGTTGCACAGAATCATACGAAATTGAAGGCGAAAATTGACCAACGAATGATTCCAAAAGATAACCTCTAAAATATGCATCATCGTATCCCCATCGATAGTACGGATTGTGAGTAATAAAACGCGAGATTGGTCGTATTGCAATATGATGGGGGATAAGAAACAGGCACAATGTGAATACATGAAATTTAACTAATGTTCAGCTGATTAAAGAACGCGGATTACTTAAGCCGCATAATTTTTCAAAATCTTAGTAGAAGTAAGAAAAGTAAGAGAAGGAGTAAGGAAAGTAGTCAAAATCTTGATACGCCTTTTCGTCGTGAAGGCGAAGATTTGTTCATTGAAAATGTTTGGAATGGCGGATCTCATTCAGCATTCAAATTAATATTACCATACTTGTATACAAAATATTGTCAAATTCTTTGTCAAAATTATTGTGTGGAGAAGCTTTCGTGGATCATGCATTTCAGGATTTGATAATGTCCTTAGACTTCATCGCATGCGTTCATTTATCATCTCTTGGTATAGATCATTTTCATGATTGATTTTAATAAATGAATGTAATATAATCATTGGCAGCAAGAAAGAGGGGGGTCGAGTATTTTAAATCCTTCCGTAGCCCCTTCTTTTTGCTAATTAACATACGTAACAGCTCTTAAACAGACTTTAAATGACTTAATATTTTTCATCCTTGAACAGATACGCTGTTTTTGGAAATAACACATTAAGATATGTACCGTTTTATCATCGTCTACTTCGACAGGAAAACCGAAAAACCAAGCGGGGACGCTACTTCAATATTAAACATCCAACGCCTTGCTAAGGCGCAGGGACACAACTATTTGAACTCTCCGGAACGCGTGAGGTATGACGCCTTATTTGAAGGCGTTTTCGAATCTTCTGTATTTACATGACGAGACTTTCTAAATTTGTTTGCATTATAATGTCGATTTGAGATCCTTTTATTATTTAGTTAAATTATTCCTGCTTCTGAATTTTTAATTATTCTGGTAAAATTTTCTTTTTGCGAAATACAATCCTGGCTTTAGCGCCCTTAAACTACGGCCTGAACGGTCGAAACTGCAATAGCGGCACAGGAAAGCCAAAAAACCAAGAGGGAACGCTGCTACAATATTAAACTTCTATCGGCTTGGTAAGGCGCAGGCATACATCTATTTGAACACTTCGGAAAGCGTGAGGTATCACGCTTCATTTGAGGGCGTTTTCGAATCTTCTGTATTTAAATGACGAGATTTTCCATATTATTATACATTATATTGTAGATTTGAGTTCCTTTTATTATTTAGTTAAAATATCCCTGCTTTTTAATTTTTAATTATTCTGGTAATATTTTCTTTTTGCAAAATACAATCCTGGGTTTCGCGCCCTGAAACTACGGCCTGAACGGTCTAAACTGCAGTAGCGGCACAGGAAAGTCAAAAAACCAAGCGGGGACGCTCCTTCAATATTAAACTTCAATCGCCTCGCTAAGGCGCAGGGATACAACTATTTGAACTCTCCGGAACGCGTGAGGCATAACGCTTCAATTGAAGGCGTTTCCGCATCTACTGTATTTACATGACGAAACTTTCTAAATTTGCTTGCATTATATTGTCGATTTGAAAATCATTTTATTATTTAGATAAATTATTCCTGCTTTTTAATTTTTATTTATTCTGCAAAAACTATCCATTTCCGAAATACAACCCTGGTTTTAGCGCCCTTACACTACGTTAGCCTTTTGCATTTTATTGTAGATTCGAGTTCCTTTTGATATCTAATTAAATTATTCCTGCTTCTGAATTTTTAATTATTCTGGTAAAATTTTCTTTTTGCGAAATACAATCCTGGGTTTCGCGCCCTTATACTACGGCGTGAACGGTCGAAACTGTAGTAGTGGTACAGGAAAACCGAAAAACAACGCGGGGACGCTACTTTAATATTAAGCTTGCATCGCCTTGCTAAGGCGCAGAAATACAACTATTTGAACACTAAGGTACGCGTTAGGTATCACGCTTCAATTGAAGGCGTTTTCGAATCTTCTGAACTCACATGACAAGACTTTCCAAATTTGTTTGCATTATATTCTCGATTTGAGTTCCCTTTAATATTTAGTTAAATTACTCCTGCTCCTTAATTTTTAAATATTCTGCAAAATGTATCCATTTGCGAAATAGAACTCTGGCTTTTGCGCCCTTAAACTACGGCCTTAACGGTCGAAACTACAGAGGGGCACAGGAAAATAAAAAAAACAACGCGGGGACGCTACTTCAATATTAAGCTTCCATGGCCTTGCTAAGGCGCAGGCATACAACTATTTGAACTCTCCGGAACGCGTGAGGTATGACGCCTCATTTGAAGGCGTTTTCGAATGTTCTGTATTCACATGACGAGATTTTCCAAATTTTTTTGCATTATATTTTATATTTGATTCCTTTTATTATACAGTTAAATTACTCCTGCTCCTTAATTTTAATTCTTCTACAAACACTATCCATATGCGAAATACAACCCTCGCTTTAGCGTCCTTAAACTTAGTTAGCATTTTATTGTAGATTTGAGTTCCTTTTGTTATTTAGTTAAATTATTCCTGATTCTTAATTTTTAATTATTCTGGTAAAATTTTCTATTTGAGAAATGCATTCCTGGCTTTAGCGCCCTTAAACTACGGTCTGAACGGTCGAATCTACAGTAGTGGCACAGGAAAACCGAAGACAACGATGGGGCACTACTTCAATATAAAGCTTCCATCGCCTTGCTAAGGCGCAGGGATACAACTATTTGAACTCTCCGCAACGCGTGAGGTATGACGCCTCATTTGAAGGCGTTTTCGCATCTTCTGTATTTACATGACGAGACTTTCTAAATTTATTTGCATTATATTGTCGATTTGAAATCCTTTTATTATTTAGATAAATTATTCCTGCGTTTTAATTTTTTATTATTTTGCAAAAATTATCATTTTGCGAAATAAAATCCTCGCTTAAGCGCCCTCAAACTCCGGCCTTAACGGTCGAAACTGCACTGGCGGCACAGGAAAGCCGAAAAACCAATTATTGGGGACGCTACTTCAACATTAAACTTCCATCGCCTTTCTAAGGCGCAGGGATACAAGTATACGAACTCCCCGGAACGCATGAGGTATCACGCTTCAATTGAAGGCGTTTACGAATCTTCTGTTTTTACAGGACGAGAGCTTCCAAATTTTTTATCAGTCTATTGTAGATTTGAGTTCCTTTTATTATTTAGTTAAATTACTCCTGCTCTTTAATTTTTAATTATTTTGCAAAAACTATCCATTTGCGTAGTACAATCCTGGGTTTCGCGCCCTTAAACTGCGGCCTGATCGGTCGAAACTACAGTAGCGGCACAAGAAAACCGGAAAACAACGCGCGGACACTACTACAATATTAAGCTTCCATCGCCTTGCTAAGGCGCAGGGATACAACGATTTGAACTCTCCGGAACGCGTGAGGCATAACGCTTCAATTGAAGGCGTTTTCGAATCTTCTGTATTTACATGACGAGACTCTCTAAATTTGTTTGCATTATAATGTCGATTTGAGATCCTTTTATTATTTAGTTAAATTATTCCTGCTTTTTAATATTTATTTATTCTGCAAAAATTATCTTTTTGCGAAATACAACCCTGGCTTGCGACGTCGCAGACTTCTTCTCGTACTTTATTTTTTAAACGGAAAACTATTCAACGACAATTTTTTAAAACTGCCGTGATTCTCCTTTCCATGCGAGGACTAAAAAACTTCAAGTAATGATGTCAATTTGTTCTCCTTTAAAAGAATAACATAGAGACGGAGATTTTCAGACACCACAAACGAGTTATGTGATTGCCGACTTACACCGTCCATATTTTAGATTAAATTGAAAACATAATTGTCTTACAAATTAGAGGAAAAATATCCCCGATTTTCCCACCGAATTTGCTTTTCATCTAAGGAAATTTGGCAACGTGCGCCTGAAGTATTGCGAGAAGTTCTTCCTCAGTGCGGCAGTATGCAAGACATAACGATTTTGGATTCGTTTTCTTTTTTACTATTATCCTTACTTATTCTTTCACATTTGGCCTGGGAGGCAAATTAACTTTTTATTCGATTTCTGGAGAAAAAATTGAGCTTTGGCATTGGATTGTTTCTTACTCTGAAATATATTTTACTCGAAAATATAACTATCTTAGTCTTTTTAAGAAACCATTTGAGTGACTCTGTCATATCTAAGATGATCCTCTCGTGCAGTCGCCGGCAACTTCCTCTTCTATAAATTAAGTATTTAGAGAATATTTTAAGAGAAAAAAAGAAAGAAGTATATACAATAGCAAATGTATACGTATTGAACGTGAGGTGTTTTCCGTCGATAAGTGAAATACATTGTCATTGTTTTGCACCGTGAATCAAAATATCATCTTCTTTTCACTCATCATAGATTAATAAAACCTCTAAACTGGGAACTAACTTTTCACAGCTTTTAAATTCCCCTTCATTTTCCCCCATCAAAATCCCATACAACTTATCGGGCTCATGCGTCTGGTGCGGTATCATACGAAATTGAAGGCGTTTTATACCACTTTCAAATATCATCATGCGGCACGACACATTACGTTGCTCCGCCATCGTATGCGTATGAAACGATGATAGGTCAAGAATGGTGCTTTTAAATGCATTCACTGAAGAAAAAATCTCGGTGCATTTACTAAGAAAAGGGTAAAATTACCAAGAATTCAGGTTTCTATTTGATCCCAGTTTTTTCTTGGTAAAATTACCATTTATGGAATTGATAATTTTACCGAGAAATCTCGGTAAATTTATTGAACTTTCTTGGTAATTTTACTGGACCTTGGTAAAAACGCCAATATTTTTTATCGACTGTGGTAGTATTACCGAGATAAAATGGCAAAGTTACCGGGAATTGATTACCAATAAAAGTGGTATTCTTACCTGAAGAAAACAGTAAAATACCGGTTTTTAGGTAAGCTTACCAGTTTGTCTTGGTAAAATTACCAATAATTGGTAAAAAAAAGTGAGATGGTAAAGGTACCAACGGACCTTGGTAAAAACGCCGAGAATTTTCGTCAGTGCATTCAAATGTGTGAATTAAAAAATGGGGTATGAAAAACGCCCAAGGCGTCTTGCGGAGGTGCTCATGCCGAAAAAATTTAATACATTTCCGGTTTAATAGAATTTGTATGGCATGTAACTCTGCTTACTGGAAACACACGCAGTGATAACAGGATATCCGTAATTATTTGAAATCCCCGCCATATTTCGTTAAATTCGTCTAGCCCAATCATAATGTCTGGTTCAGAATTTGCCATGAAAATTCCTTTTATTTGATAGATGGAATAATTGGAACACGGACAATTCTAGAAATCACCAGTGTTTTGCTTTTGAGGTTACGTTACGCCATTGTTTGTATTCTGCGCTGTTATCAGTTTGAGTTATTCATGTGTTGGAGAAAATTTCACGGCTTAGCGCGAATCTATTTTTAATTGCACCTTTCAAGCTAATCCACAGCTGTCAGAAGTGACTGTTCCTACCGATTAAAGTGCTCCTCGAATACATATTCCAACGCTCATTCACCCACGCTCATCCCCAATATGTCAAACGACTCTAACATAAGCCCAGAACAACTAGAATGGATTCAGCTTCGTGAGCTTCTAGATAAAAAGCGAGCCGCAACTGAGCAACTTCCTGGAGAAGGATGGAGAAAGATTGTGACCAAATGCAAAGAAAATCCCTTTGTACCCATAGGTATGTCCTTTTTCTCTCTATTGCATCACTTCAAGACCAGAGAGCTTGAAACTGTTGTGCCGCAGAATCATAATCAACCCCTTCTTTGGATTTAGAGTCCACGCCAAATAAGTTTACTCTTTTCCAGATTGAGACAGAAGATCTACTATCTTCAGTCTTGTATTGATACAATTCCTATTGATACTACTATGCTAAATTGAAAATAGCTGATCTTGTATCATAATCAGGAAGTCGACGGTGTAAGTCGGCAATCACATAACTTGGTTTGCGATGTCGCAGACTACCTGTCATACTTTATTTTTCTAAACGGAAAACTACAATGTGGCAATTTTTTGAAACTGCTGTGATTTTTCTACTCTGTGTGAAGAAAATACTGCAAAAACCTCAAGGAATGATGTCAATTTGTTCTCCGTAAAAAATATATCTCAGAGGCGGAGATTTTTAGACACCGCAAACGAGATATGTGATTGCGGACTTACTTACTCCGTTGAAGTGTGAAAACTTATTCGGAGTCAACGCTGAAAGAAGAGGATCACTGGTCTGTGAGCGAGGGATATGAAAATTTCAATGTTTAGCCTCAGTATTGCTGGTTTGATATTGTCTTGCAGTCTTGCAATTTAAATTTGTGTCAGTTTAGAGAAAGTGGAATAGAAATGCACCAAGTCACGTCATGTTTGAACCAAGAAACAGAGGTCTGAAGTTCAATGCATCTGTAATACTCAATGTTATGGACAAAGTTTACCAATTCATTAGGTATATTTATTTGATATTTTCAAATTCAAGAAATGTTCTCTTAACTTTTAACATATGTCTGTGATTATAGTTACGTTGTTTTGGTTGTGTTGTTTTTCCTTGGTTGCACCACCCACCACAAGTTCTTTCTTAAAGGGTGGTGGGATGAGTTTTTATTTTTTATGAAATTTTTATAAAACTGGCTGTGCTATTCATGTAAACTGAAGTGAAATATACATATTTATTATTATTATTATTATTATTATTATTATTATTATTATTATATGACATTGGAGAATTGGCGACTAGGTAATTGAATGTATGTCTGCTCCCAATTTAGCCCTCATTTATGACATTTTTTCAAAGTAAGTGCAGAAAATTTATTTTTACTGTTAGAGACTACATGACCCATTTTACAAACTATAGCTAATTAGTTCCTAACATTACCTAATCTAAGTAACTGGAGGGAACGGTCCATAGACTGAACTATAGCCGAAAAGTTACATGAAGTGTAGGTAAAAACTGTAATCGTCGTCTCTCTTTTAAGAAATAAAATATGAATGAAGACTTCTAACATTGGAATCCACTTTTAATACGCATCTTCCAACCTCAGCCACTGATTTTGTGTCCTTGAGGGATGCAGGGGATTGGAACTGACTGGTGCATTCAAATGGATCCAAACCTGCGTCAAAGAGAGATTCACCTTTCAAAACATAATTCTGTGAAAGGCTTAATTCAACGTATTTATCCTAAAAGGAACCAGAGATGGGTGAGAAAAGTGATATGTGCTCGTTAAAGCTGCATAAGAAACAATATGGAAAAGTGGGCGTGATTCTTTTAGGCAAAATAGACAAGTGGGAAATTACATTAAATCAAAAGGAACTGAACGCCAAAATATGCTAACTCATGAGCCGTGGACATGTGACAGCATCGTTTTGGACAGGGATCATGAGTTGAAGACTCCTGTCGTTGATTCTGATCCTGAATTTGTCACTGCTGACATTACTGGCGCCTTATAATTCCCATTCATTCTTCTGGCCCTTAAATAATGAGCACACTCTTTCTTCCCTATCTATCTCTGGTTCCCTTTAGCATACATACGTCCAACTGACCCATTCCTTTGTTTAGATAAGCTCTAATTTGATCTCATATTGATTTTTTCATTTCTTTCAGGAACTCTTGCCACAGTGGCAGCCATCTCCGTTGGGTTATATGCCATGGTCACCGGACGGAAGCGATTGTCTCAGCTTATGATGCGTTGCCGTGTCGGAGCTCAAGGTTTTGCCATTACAGCCATTTTAGTTGGATTTGAGATAAAGAGAAGATCATTGCTTGCGGAGAAGGCTGAAAAAGAAAATCAGCAATCGTCAGAGCAAGAAAGGAGTTGAAGCAAAATCGGCACCCCAATCACCTGTTTGTATATGTCTTTGTAGATAGAATTTTTAATTCTCTGTTACTTATTTTTGTAATTGTGCAACTCTTTCGCTCCCCTAAATTGTCTTCAATGTGAGACCTAATATAATAGGAGAAGAGATATTGTGATTGAATTGTCTCTCAGTACGAAAACGATCTTTTTTAGAACCTCACATATGCAGCCACCAATAGGAGTTGTTGTGTAAAACTTTGCGGCGTAAATCACTTGAATGCTGAACCTCATACTCAATTGTTTCTTGTTCATAATCATCTCTGCATGAGGAGACTGGCATTAACCATCCCAAAACTTGACCATTGCATGGTATTGATGCCTAAAGTGCAAAACTGCATATCTCTATCTGGATGTTCCAAAATCTCTGCTTCTATGTTATTTTTTTTTAAAAAAGAAAAAGTTAAGTATATAGGTATCTTGAAATTTCCATAGAATATCCAGCTAATAGGAAAGGAAAGTCATGGAAGTTTTCAAGAAATTAAGTTGCGACTAGCTTTCCTAATAAAAGTCTACAACATCACAAATGAAGATACTTGGTCCTGCACTTTAGCAATCAATATGTTGCTTCCTGAAGTTCAAGTTTGCTTCTTGCTTTAAAGAGGCAAATAATATAAATAAAAAATGAGAGGTATAGTTTCTCAAGGGAAATTTAAAGGAAATTATTGGAATTCTTGTAAATACAACTCTTAATGGTATGGCCTTTAAGTCGAGCAAGTCGGTCACTGAAGGTGAAGGTGGCATAACAATCTGTCCAAGGAAATAGGATCATGGTCCTCTGTTGGCGCCAATGTTGGTCATGGACTTGCGCACTTTAAGTCCCGTACGTTGAGCAAAGAAAAGCTGTTTTGCAATGTTAGACTCCCAAAAAATGGAATTGGTAGAGGCATGAATAATTATTAGAGAAGTTACACTGTTTCTTTTTCTTTTTTTTTCTGTTGGAAAATAAAATAGAAAATTTTTACTCAGTGAGTTGATGCTTTAATTAATGAGATTTAATGTGTCAAATCTATTATCAATAAAGCCAGTTCACAATTTACTAATAATATGTAATTTTTAGTCATCTCATTGAAACTGTAAGATGGGACACGTAATCATTGTCTCTTTGGTTGAATCAGAAATTCTGAATTATTGATCACAGTTTCTGCTATGTACCAACCATTTTGACTTATTCAACAAAAGAGAAAGATTTAAAGAAGAGAATCAGTCAAATTAGATTCATAAGTGGACATAGTTTATCAGCGATGCACCAAGTCTAATCTTAGAAACAAAATGATCTGAGAAGTTTAGAATTCAACTAGTTACAAAATTTCTCCTGCTAACAATCCAAAGTCAAGAAAAGAGATCTTGAACGTGGAAATTGCTGTTAAAATGTGCCCTTAAGTTTGAGTTTATAATATGTAAAAAAGTTACAAACTGCTCTGTTCTTTGTATTTTCTCTTTATTTAAGTGAGAAACAAAGTGTATATTTTCATTATGAAAGCTCACTTGTAACTAATGTTTGAGTTTTATTTCAAGCTTGATTCGACATGATGCATCTCTATTGAGCTTGGCCCAATTCTTTTGCTTTTAATGATAAATGAAATTCAGGGAAGTTCTACAAGCTTAATCGCCCCTCCTCTAAATTTTTAAAATTTATCCTGTCCATAGACATTTTGAGTGAATTGTATTGGATTCCTTAAAGTTTTGCCCTGTTCAAAGTAAATTTCACCCCCTCAAAATTAATTTTATCCTCATCCAGATTCAGTGAAAATGTTTGTGCCCTTACATAAAAGTTGCTCCAACAACATGCTCTGGCGTTCTGCGACACCCGAACGTCACATGTGCCTATCCTCCCAGAAGTTATAGGGCAACTGACAATGCTACATCTCTTAGTTAATGCCCTACCGTCATCCTTTCATGGGGCGTCGCTAAATGACGTGAAATTTATTCAATGTTTATTTTCAAAAAGGCCAGGGTCCATGAGTGAAAACACACGTGATTACATTTTCAAATTTTATTCAACAAAACCGTTTCTAAATGCAAACGTTTTTGTTTTTGTTTCGATTGAACATTCATATTTGTTTACAGTTGAGCACAAATAATTTAAACTCGTTACAAAGTCTAACGATAAGATAAAAACTCTAGTTGTACATAATGTAATGACTATTTATAAAATGCAAAAATACATCTCATACATGCATAAATAATCTCCCTAATTTTACACGTACTTTTTTTATCAGAATACCACTTACGCTCAGGACGTAAAACTAGTATGTACAATTAAAATTATATCACAGAAATCGGAGAATAAGATCAAACCACCGAGTCGTAAAAGTTTTACCTATCCGACCAGTTTGATTTTATTTAAAACTAAAAACAAAAAAATTAAAATTTAGGAATGCTACAGTTCACCCAAACTCCCGCCCGCTTGTGCGGGCCAGTATATTAATCAGATCATTGCGAAGCAGTCTAGATTGTTTTTTTTTCAATCTTCAATTAATTTGTCAAATATTCGTTTATTGCTACAGGCTGTGATTCCACAGCGAAATCTAACTTAACAGTCGATGTGGTTCACTTCTGTGAACACCTACACTTACTGAGTATCACTTAACATGATAGAAAGTCAGCCAAGACTTTGAATCTAAAAAATAAATGAAAGAAGCTGCGGGGTGAATGTTTGGACTGGTTACTCTGAGCTCTTTGGGTAAGATAGAATGAGAATTGCCAATCTTTGGCGAAACTGTCAAATTTTTTTTTGCAAATTGGAACATACCTCATTGAGTGGTTTCTCTTTAAACTGTCAGATTGGAAGATAAGTAAGTAACTAAAGATGGTAGTCTTGACTTAAATCATTAATATCAACGAAGCTAGATTCAACAAGTTGAGAAAAAGCCATTTGCTACTATACCTACTCCGATAATATGTGCGTAGGCTGACTCAATACTTTAATGGTTAAATATATTCTTATTCTTTATTTTGAAGCATTAAAATCGGACTGATTTCTTGACAAATCAGTCAGCTAACTTGTAAAGAGCAACAGAAGATGAGTAGTCATTAATCTCCTGAAATTAGGTGCGAGAATCACGACAACAAATCTTCCACCTCAGCTTAAAAGTCAAGCATGCAATTTTAAGTGTCTTTACTTCCAATTTGACAATATAACTTGAGATGAAAAAAGACAGAATTTTCAAAACTGATAATTTAGACTTGTCAAACAAGGGAAGGGTACAAAGGCAGAAAATTAATGCCAAATTATGAACGTGGGAGGAAAAAAATAACATAATTGTAAAATGAGAATAAAATTCAACGATAGAAATTAATGTAAGTAGTCTGTTTGAAACTTTCTTAGAGAAAAGGATGAAGAAGTCTGATTTACATATTTACAAGGTATGCTACATAATTACAAGCTGAAAGTAGCGCATCGAACTTCAGACACTTTAAAATATTTTTAAAAATTCGTAACTGATATTATAGATTATTTGGGAAACAGAACATTTAAGGGGAAGAACAGACAGGATAAAATCGGGCAAATAGATTAATTTATCTGATATACATAGAGTACCTAGAGACATGATGCCCTGAGATAAAGTTGGTATCTTTGAATCACTCAAAAGAAAAAAATCTGCATTGCATTTCAGGCCTGAACAACAGTGGACTCAAATGAAATGCAGACCAAATATTTTCAAAGTGAAATATCCAAATTTTTCCTTAAAATAGTGGATTGTGCTTTTAAAAATTGAATGATCACATTTTATGCTGACTTGAACACAAAAAGTTAATTTTTACTTGGCCTTAATTAAAAGAATGGGTAAGTAGAACCCTAGAAAAATGGCTACCGGCACAAGAATAGGAGAAGAAATAGCTGTGAAATTCTTAACGAAAATAAATTAATCAACTTTCTAAAGTCACGTCCTTAAGCGGAAATAACCACTCCAAACTTGCGCAAAAAAATAAACACATCGCATAAATGCAAAGAAAATAAAATAAATGCCAATTTTCAACGAAATAAAACTACAAACTTGAGTGCATGAAAAGTTGTAGTGAATTATTTGGCTGATCAGGAAAGTCCACCTTGTGGAGATTTTAGCAAAAATCACAAAGCACAGTGTATAATTAGCTTTTACAGCTTGTAGCAGTTAAAACATTTCATACCACGTGAGGTCAATTAAAACATTTTTGGGAGATGAAATTTGATAGGCTCAAAAATTGCCAGAAGAGCATGAAATACATAAAAAATTAATTAAATTAATTTATCCTCCAAATTACCTACTTTGGCGCCATAATCGTTTTTCAAGAATCATAGAGTTGATCATTATAGCAATCAGTCTTAAAGTGATAAGTAGTTTCTATTCATTTTTTATTCGTTGCTCTAAAAATATTTGTCTATATTCATAAAATTTGTCTATAAAAGCATGAATCCTTTTCCAAGGATCGAATTTCTGGATTGATCAGAAATTATTTTGATCCATCCTTGAGATCTACGAGGACAAGCCTGCTTCCATACAATGTTAAATAAGCACAAAATCAACCAAAGGTCACCAATTCACCGAAGAAATACAGGTGCTGATTTAATCATATTTACTTAAAAGTCTTACAAAAAATGGTCACTTAACTTTAACAGTCAAAACTTCACTAACTTAAATATTTTCAAGGAAACTGGATGAACTATACACAGCAACTGCTGGCTTTCCCTGCAATTTGAATTCAAACTGTGCTTTTAGTCCATATAGAGAAAAGGCTCACTGAGTTTTCAACATTTCTGCCAGTCCTTTAACGGTGGATAGATTACTTAGCGTAATGTCAGGTACTTTTGGTGAGAGTGTGAAACGTCTACCACTAGACAATAACCCGCCAATCCAAAAAAGCGTGTACTTTAAGCTGTTCAGGTACACTCTATGATGTGCAGTTGTGAGCTTTCTATAACTGAGGGTCGCTGCGGCTCCCCGTTGCTATTGAGGCACAGTTGAGATTGCGGCTGGGGTTGCGGCGTGGGCTGAGGGGAGAGATGATGTGGGGTTGGTTGTGACGATAGGTGATGGGATGAGTGGTGGAGCATTGATTGTTGTGGAATGTGGTTCATCTCGTAACCATCCAAGGAGTCCAGGTCATGACTGTCTTTTTCAAGGCTGCCAGCTGTGACATTAAAAAAAAAAAAAAATTAGCTAAAATTTCCTCAGCAGTTAAAATTAATTAAAATTAAAATTTATTAGCTCAGCATTTCAGATGGCACCCAATTTAGAGTATGAAAGAGAAAATAACACGAAGGATTTTTCTTTTTTTCCTCAAGGATTGAACTGTCAACTTCAAAATTATCATCAAATTTAGTTTTGTAAACTCATCGAGTGCAAAAAGAATTTTAATTCCAAAGTAATTTTTTTCTCCTTTTTTTCTTTAATGAAGCAAAAATTAAAATGCTTTTTTTTATCCTGTAAATTGAGGCACTGAATGCAAAAAGGGCACTTCTCGATTGCAGTGTTTCAGAATCTCTGTTGCTAATTAATCCCTCGGAGAAGACTTTAATGGGTGATTTTTCCAGAATTCTTTCCATAGAAAATTGTAGAATCATTGGAATACCTATTCAGTAAAAATTTTAGTGAAATGGATGCATTCACTCTCCTTACAATGAATGAACTGACTCTAAAACACTGCAACCGAGAAGTGCCCTTTTTGCATCCAATGCCTCAATTGTGTAAATAATATTAATATATTCCTAAAAATTGATAGTCAAAAAATATTCAAATTGAAACTCAAATTCAGGCTCAAAAATTAAAGGCTTCCAACAGCCAAGTAAAAAAAGTAGACCAAATCAGTCAGTAGACTAGTCTTACGATCTGTGTAAACTTAGAATGAGGGGAGAAGACAAATGCTTACCCAAACTTCCGTCTGATGAGACATAATCACAGTAACTAGCAAATGCCAACTCTTCGTCTAAGTTATGTGGCTTGCAGGATGTTGTTTTCCAGTGAGTCCTGAAAATTAGAGGGCAAGACGAAAAAGTTAGTCACAGATTTCAGAAAGTAATAAGTAGGTAGGTATTGTTACATATTTGAATATTAGTGTGATGAAGTTCATAAATTATGATACAAAATTTTTCTTAATCATTCTCGCTTTGTTTCGAGTCATAATATGAGTATAAGAGCAAGTTAAGTACTCATGAATGGATAGGAAAAAAATTCAAGAGGATTTTTTTAAAAAGACTTGAAAAAAGCATGACATAAGTAGCCATGCTAAAAAAGAAGAGCTCTTTCAAGTAAATTGATTTTAAAAACTCATTACCAACTTCGTTGTTAATAGTGATTGAATTCTATGCAGGTACTTAATTTTTATTTATAAATCATACAAAAGGGTTTCCAATTACAGATTTTTTAAATACTAGTTTTTCATCATGATCAAGTGCACCACGTTAACAATTTCTTACCTTAAGCCACTAGCGCTGATGTACTTCTTGTTGCATCCCTGACATGTGTAGGGGCGCTCGTTTGTGTGGAGCCTTTTGTGGAGCTTTAAGTGAACAAAC